GCCCGCTTTGGATTCTGAGTTGTGAAGTTCAGAATCAGTGGGGTCTTACAAACACCGTTAGTGGAGGCCCTGTGCTTGTTAAAGGCCTTCTGTGTCAGGTCACACAGTTGTTGAATAGGCATTGTGCGGCAGGCTATAATGCCTAAATGGTGACTTACAATAGGAGGGAGGTTTTGGAGGAAAAGGCTTGTGTGTCCTCCACCATCCCAGATGTAATTGCGAGCTCTGAAGTAAGCTCGTCGAAGTCTGTGGTAGTAACCATGGGGAGTTTCATGCCGGCCCTGTTTGGTGTCTAGGGCAGTGATCAGTCCGTGTTCAGACTCTGGGTCTGAGAATTCCTTTATGATGGCTTGTTTAAGCTGCTGGTGAGGCCACTCTCAGGATCAGTTCCTTTGATGTCCTCAGGATCTCTGCAGTATTTAGGTTGCCAGATGTATTGTCTCTGGCCAGCTCGTTGGGGGCTGTGGGGCCACACAGTATGTGTGTCTGCAGTGATCCTCTGGAAGGGTCCCTGCCCCACCCCCCCTGTGGCTGCTGGCTGGTGACGTGTGAACAGTGGGTTCTCAGTGGGATAGGTCAGATCCTGGTGGTTCAGGCTGGGTGTTAGGTGTCCACTTGTGTCGCAGTCTTGCTGTTCCTTTCTCTGCCATTGCAGGTCGTTGGCTGCTTTGAGCTGAAGGATGTCCATTACAGTGCTCTGCTGGGTTTCCAGGTGGTCCTGGTGAGCTGGCAGGGCTGGATGTCTGTGGAATGTGGAATTGCGACATACTGGCACACTCATGAGAACACCAGAGAGAGAGAGGCACAAGGCAAATGCAAGTATGTACAGAGGTGTTAAGCTATCTCTATGGGGAACGGCTGTGTAGGCTGTGTAAGGTATGAAAAGCTGATGAGGGGCAGCTAGTGAGGTAGGGTGCTATGTTTTTGTGTTCGTGAACACAAAGAGAGAGTTTGAGTAACTTTGTTGAGGGGGCTGTAAGCAGGGGTCAGCTGATGACCGGGCTATACATGTGGTCAAACTATTACTCAAAGCACTGATGGTTCACAGGTTTGGTCACTATGACAAAACTGAAATAAAATAAGATGAAATCAAAAAAGAAAAGGAAGAAGGAAGATTTTACCTATTTCGTTTTTTTTTGCTAAGAGATATGGCTAAGCAGGTGTCACTTGTGGGTGATGCTGCAATAGACTCATAAACCTAGAGTTAGAGGCTGCTTTGAGCTGAAGGATGTCCATTACAGTGCTCTGCTGGGTTTCCAGGTGGTCCTGGTGAGCTGGCAGGGCTGGATGTCTGTGGAATGTGGAATTGCGACATACTGGCACACTCATGAGAACACCAGAGAGAGAGAGGCACAAGGCAAATGCAAGTATGTACAGAGGTGTTAAGCTATCTCTATGGGGAACGGCTGTGTAGGCTGTGTAAGGTATGAAAAGCTGATGAGGGGCAGCTAGTGAGGTAGGGTGCTATGTTTTTGTGTTCGTGAACACAAAGAGAGAGTTTGAGTAACTTTGTTGAGGGGGCTGTAAGCAGGGGTCAGCTGATGACCGGGCTATACATGTGGTCAAACTATTACTCAAAGCACTGATGGTTCACAGGTTTGGTCACTATGACAAAACTGAAATAAAATAAGATGAAATCAAAAAAGAAAAGGAAGAAGGAAGATTTTACCTATTTCGTTTTTTTTTGCTAAGAGATATGGCTAAGCAGGTGTCACTTGTGGGTGATGCTGCAATAGACTCATAAACCTAGAGTTAGACTGTTAGCTAAGTTAGCAGGGACACACCAAATACCTCGAGGTCAAAAAGAAAAAGAAAAAGAAACAATGGGAAGTGTTCCTAGTTCTATCTGGGCCTACATTATGTTGAACAGTAACTGCACTTCAATGTACTAGGCCTGGCACTGAGGAGTGAGGAGAAGTAGAGAGGAAACAGGGATTAGGCTACTAATAACTAGGGATGTCCCGATCAGGTTTTTTTGCCCTTGAGTCCGAGTCCGAGTCATTTGATTTTGAGTATCTACCGATACCGAGTCCCGATCCGATACTTCTATAATACATAAAAAAAGAATAAAGAAGAGCGAAAAAACAGATCCAGGATGTTCCTTATTTTTTATTTAATTCACCTTATTTTAACATTCAACAACTCTGTTAACAAACAGAGCACTTCTGTGAGGTAGCTTGAACAATCAAGTAATAAATAACATAAATTCTTCACTTTTGGACTTTAGTGCAACAGTAAATATAAAAAAAGTCTAATATAAAAACAAAAAGCACCTCAACTTAAAATACCCTAGGCAGGCATGTAAACAAATAAAAAAATTAAAGTGCCACAGTGTTTGCAAAGCCAGTAATGTGCTTTTAGGAACTGCACTCCTAACTCTTACTGTCATCACAGTAGTAAGTTTCACAGAAGGAAATGTATGTTTTTCTTAATGAAAACTAACATCTCTACCTTGTCAGGTTTGAGCCTGTTTCTGTTCTCATCAAGGACATTTGCAACGGCACTAAAAAGTCTCTCACTGTCCACAGAGCTGCAGGGGGCACTGAGATACTGGGTTGCAACAGCAGCCATAGAGTGAAACTGAATAGCATGTTCTTTCCAGTACTGAAGTGGGTCGCTTTTCTTAGGGGTGTTTTTTTCTGAGAGGTAGGTCTGCACTTGAGTTTCTGCTGATGTGGTACTCACGGACCGTCCCTGTGACTGCCTCTCTTGTAAGATTTCCTCAAAGGCGATGTCCAGGCTACTACATGCTTCATGATGTGGTGCCTTGCTCACTGGCTCTGCTGCAGCCTCATTTTCCTCTGGCACTGCACTGACAGCCCTCCTCCCCTCTGTCTTTGGTAAACTCGCTGTATTGTGTCGGGTGTTTGTTTTTGAGGTGCCGTATCAGGTTTGTTGTGTTAAATGTAGCCTTTTCCTTTCCACCTCTTGCAATCCCAAGTTTACATATCTCACAGTTTGCTATGGCAATGCTGTTGTCATCAACTTTATAATACCTCCAGACCGCAGACATACTCACGCTTTCCGCTTCAAGCTGCTTCCGTGTTCTACTTTGCCGGCATTTAACCAATAGCGTCTCTGCAACAAACTGATGTCATGCCGCACGCGTTGCTGTTTCTGTGTGGAGTCAAAAGGGTCTAACTCTGTGCCACCGCATAACTATAGATGTGTTAAAAAATAATGAGAATATATATACATATATATCCGAGTCCTGATCGGGAGGTAACGTCCGATTCCGATCGAGTCTGAAACCACGCGATCGGGCCCAATTTCCGATCACGTGATCGGATCTGGACATCCCTACTAATAACCTGTATAACTCACTAAGGAAACAACAGTTGCTAGAACTACTGTAATCCTATACAAAGAGTGAAGATGGTGATGGTAAAATAACTAAAATAAGGTAAAAGTAAAATGAAAAGGTCCTAATAGCTGTAGGAAACTAAAAGGAAAAGTGAATAAACAAATTGATTTAATTAAATCTCAGATTTAATGAAAATCAATTTAGCTGAATTGGTACATTCATGCTAAACATATGTAAATAAATGCAATAAAGTCAAAGAGAGGTAGAATAAAGTCAAAACAAAAATAAACAATAACACAAGTAAAACCAAAGTATGTGGGGAGGGACCGACCTAACTGAATCCAAAGAGAAGGTGATAGCATAAACAGGAAGTGAAACCAGGAGTGACGAGGATAGAGAGAGAGAGAGAGAGAGGAGTGGTTTGAAAGTTACACTTTACAAACCTATCTAAGTGTTAGCCGAATGCTAACAGCTAGCAGTTGAGCTAAAGGGCTTAGCTTAAATGCCTGTGCGGCTGCTAAAGAGTTAGCATTGGCTACCCACAGTTCTTTGTTTACATAAAGGTCTGTGAAGTGGGTGTTGTTGTCAGATTAACCGGAAGAGTCTGCTCACATTTCCGGGGTCACGTGTTGCTAGGAGACCAACGCAAGCTCACATCAGGTGCAAGTGGATCAGAACTTGCACTGCTGTGAACATGCATGGGAAACTCATGCGGGGAATAACAGTCAGTTATGACATGTCCCATACAACTTCATTCACAAATCAAAACAGAACATTCGCTTCACACCTACGCTCTACTAACAAAAATCAGGTTAGTTTCTTATCGTACTGTTTAAACACATTATAGCACTGCAAACTTTCTACTGCTTGTAGGAAGGCACATTCAAGCTATAGTTTTATCTGATTTTGATCAGAAACTGGTATGCACATGAATAAGAAGTTATTAAACTTATGAGACAGACACATACGATTGATTACTGGGTCTGCTTGCAAACGATGTTTAAAATGTTCCGTTCTTCACCATACTATGTGAATGCTGGGATGTTTCTGGCTAGCTTGTTGAGTTCTCTGGGGGTCACATCATGCACTGCTGCAGGGATGCTTGGGAGGGACCCCCTCCTCTCTGTGGTTACTTTTGCAGCCTATAAGAGTACCTGAGTTCTCTTTGGACCATGTCAAGTTCGTCTTGAGTGTTGTTCAGCTGCTGGATCAGAGTCTAAATTCTGGCAACTTTGTCTTAGAACTCAGAATTAGCTGTTTCAATAGTAATTTTGTGTGGGAAAGTTTCAAATCCAGGTCCTTTCTGGCTGCCTTTCCAGGTGCTCTCGCTGTTCAGCAGCTGTCAGAGCCTTTTGAAGTCTATTGATTTCCTCCTGTAACTCCATTCTGCTGGGGTCCTTGTGGGATACTGCCGTGATCTGTTGCTTGAGATCATTTACCTCCTGTTTCAGACCCATGAGGTTGTGGGCCAGGAATATTATGATCTTGGTGAGCTCTTTGTAGCCATAACTCTCGCTTGAGTCATGAGTCAGTAGTACTCTTCCTTTGTTGTCCAGTTGTTTTTGGCTCTGATGCAGTAGGTTGTCAACAGCCCTGGGTAGAAGGGTGTTCCTCACAATGCCTGGCCAGTCCTTTTGGTCTGTCGTCTGGGCAGTTAGACTGAGCATCTGCAACATTTTGGCAAAGTCGTGTTGAGAGTAAGGGCTAGAGACTAATACAAGATCAAACAGAGTGTGGAGCTAGGTTTTGCCAGGTGTGGTATGCTGAAGTATTAGGTTATTATCTTAGCTGTGGATGACATAATGCTAAGATGCTAAGAAGGTTTGGGTCAGCATATGTTTGCTGAAAAGAGCGTAAACAGAGTTCTGATTGATGACTTAAGACTGTTCTTATTGTCGAATTATCACTCAGAACTTACTGATGTTTCACAACAGGCTCAATCTCTGAGGAAGTGAAGTAGAAGAGGGAGAAGGAAGATGGAGAGCATTCCTATTCAGATTATGCTTATTACTTGGTGCTCAGGACTATAGTTATGCCCTAGTATTTGTCTAGATGACTTGTGTAACAGGGTCATAAAATTAGAGCACATGTTGAAATAAAAACAAATCAAACATAGAAGTTTCTCTGGTTCCTTTTGAGGTTCAGAGAGGACATCTCTGTGCATCTCTTTTGACCATTATTCTTAATAACTTACCCCCAAAATTGACAATCTCCTTGGAATGGTCAATAAGTGTTCCTTTGTTTTAATGTTGAAATCTGTTCTGTGAAAGAGTGGTTTAGGCTTGCTTCAGAGTGGCTAGGGTCTGATTTATGACATCCTGTTGTCTTGGGCCTCTTGTGGAATTTTTGTGCTCCTAATGTTTCAACCATGTTTTGACCAAAACTTAGATTGTCTGATTCGGTCTGATATCCTACATACCCCCCTTCGATCGGCGAAGGCAGAAGAAGCAGACAACCACAGCAAACAACAAGACACCTCCATGACAGTTACTGTACTGGTGCAGGCAACAGGTTATTTAGGTACAGGTGGTAAAGTTCAATTAGTCAAAATAGTTTAGTAAATTGAATATGTTTTAATTCAATCTGGAAATTGTTCTAATTTGGTTCCGTACGTTGATTCGTCAATCAAATTTTGCGGATAACTTTGTTTGGTTCTTCTAGGTTGTCTTAATTTAAAACGTTTACCGTTAATTTTCTAGTAACATCATTTGCAATGAAATGAATTGACCTATCGTGCATGGAGCTTTCTGGCTTCCATTCAGCTTTAGAATTACTGGCGGATATTAGGTGTGGTGAGTCAATCCTAATATCAGACCTTTGACCCTTGCAGGGTGTCTAGGTGATATATATATGTATGTATGTGTGTGTGGTTGTACATACGCATGTATTTTTTATTTTTTTTTGGTGTTTGGTTTAGTGTTGTTAGAATCGTTATTATACTCTTATACCTTTTGTTCTTTACTATTTTGAATTGTTTTTAGCTTTATGAAATTTTGTTGTATGCATTTGTCATTTTTGTTTAATCTCTTTATTTTAAAAATGTGTATAGGTAGTATTTTATCAAATAAGGTAAGTACAATCACCTATTTAGCTAGCAAATTTTACCTCACAATAAAAAGTAGTGTCTGTGAACACCATGACAGAGGCTCATTTGGAGCAACGAAATAAAGTAATTTATTGTTATAAATTAATGCATAAAAATGCACAGGACAAACAAAAGACATGAATCAATGAATAAACTTGAATGAATACATAATACACAATTGGATAAATAGAGAGAGAGAGGGAGAGAATGAACACATACAATATATACATAGCCTAAATAAATATCATAGATAGATACATTATATACATAAATAATATAAACATAATAAATAAATAATATACATATTCTAAAATATATATATATATATATATATATATACACACACACATTTACAGACTGTGAGCCCTACAACCTACTGCCGCCTGAATGCTGCTGTGCCAATTCTTCGATTGTATTTCGAAGATGGATCTGACCTACTTCCAAACCTCCGGCTTTCATGACCGTGGCTACGAAAAAGATGTTGAGGTGCTGGTTTCTCTACTGGCTGGCCCACGCAGCATCGTACAGGCTGGTGTCACTGGGCTTTCACATCCCAAAGTCCATGGTGCATGACATTGTGCACAGAATCAGCAGGGCAGTCATCAGTATTTTGAGGAGGCTAATCGCTTTCCCGACCCCGGATGACCTGGAGGCAGTGGGGGCAGGTTTTGCTCAGCTGGCTGGGTCTCCAGCTCTCCACATCTTAGCTGGTGGACAGATGCCACATCCGGATCAAGCCACCACCAAGTGATGCCCCATGCTATTGTAATAGGAAACTGTTTCACTCTGTTCAGCTGCAGGCCATCACTGACCACAAGGGGAAGTTCCTCGATATCTTTGTTGGATATCCCGGGTCTGAAAAGCACAATATCAAGACAGTCAATTACATTCATTAGATTACTGCATAACTATGACATGGAAAAACATTAGCATGATCAAATCATGAACTAATACAAATTTTGGGGTGAAATAATTAAAAAAAATCTTGCTTTATATTTTTGTTTTAGGTTCTCCCACTTTCTTTTGACTTGAGCGGCAGAAATTTAGCCCTCAAGTCCCTGCTCTGTCACAAAAAATGCACAGAAATCAAGCATAAAAAGAAGGCAGTAAGACCTTTGCTTGAAGTGTTAGTATTTACTACGTTCAGTGTCAACAGCACCTGAATAAAAGCACATTTTACATAACTTGTTTACTTACTCAAACCCTTTGATGGCAGCATTACGCCTTCCAGTGAAGAGGGCTTCATTAGCCACCCTCCACTGAATAAGGAGCTGAGTGTGTTCATCAGTCCCTGTAATGTCAAAGCAGTAACCATAAGTCATTATCAATCCATTAATGCTATATTGACAAGCTGTGGCATATTTATTAATAGTAGCTTAGTATGTAGCTAACAAAATATCAACAAAATATTAGTAAAAGAGGGGAAAATATGGTTTAAAGTCCGTGGAATTTTCTAATCTCATTAAACTGCTTAACAATGAACGTCTCCATTAAAAAAGCAGTTAACAAGCTGATGTACAACAGCATTGACACTAGCTTGATCTGTTCGTTAACTTGATGTGCTCAGTAATAACAATGATTAAACATCTTTTTATGGAAGATTCACGAAATCATCTCATCGATTTACAATATTTAAACTTTCAATAAGTCAGCCGTTCACTTAGATCATGTTAAACAAGTGCAATTTAACCACAATGAACAACGTTTTTCCCTGAGGAACTTACACTTGAAAAGAGCCGTGTCGCCGCCTTCCGCCATTTTCGAATATGACACCTCCTCTCCCGTGGCCTCATGGGATAGTAAAGTGTCCATCCTATGCATGCTATGGAATTCGGGCGGAAGTAGTAGGTCATCTGGGTACTTCTCACCTACTGTTTTTCGAATACTATGAATTCGGACATACTACTCGCCTTGCATACTGTTTTTCGCCTACTATATAGTAAGGAAGTATGCGATTTCGGACGCAGCTCAGGTGACGCGTGTGCTATGTGGAGTTAGGACTTCCTGTGACAAGTCATTGTCATGGTAACCAATGCATGCCAGTGCAATTCAAGCAGTTTAGTGTCTGCCTATTTCAAAGAAGTTGCCCACAGTTTTAAAACGTGGTGCTTTCAGTCCTTCAAGACTTGTTGCATTAAATAAGCACTTCTGTGAGTGCTTCTCTAATTTAACAATAAACTTCTTGCACTTGTTTAAAGAATAACAAAACAGGTTTACTGTAAGTTAAAGCCGGTTTAAGCATATATGTAGTTATGTGTGCCTCACACATGAATACTGACGTACAGTATTACACCTTTAGTTTCACTCCGCAAGTGAAACACAGTAATGACCACCAGGTTGCTAGGCGTGTATATATACTGTCAAAGTGTAGATTAATTGCAGCAATCTAATTATACTGGACTATCAAGCACACACTTTTAGGTTGACAGTGTTTTAAACTCATAACCTTTGTTTTATCATGCCTCGCGTCTGTGGTGGCTTCTGCCGCTATTGTGAAGAATCTTTCTCAGAGTCTTGGGATTTTGATGCCAGAAGAGATTTTATTTTCAGAGACAATAAAACCTGAGAGAACTCTGCAGAGCAATCTCCAGACTCTTTTTCTGTACTCTCTTATATACTGTTCGTTCTCTAGGCGTGTTTAATGGTTTCAGTCATATTTGATATGGGATCATCACGATGCAGTCATGAGGCCTTAATTTTATGTTCTGTGAAAATAAGGGCCCCATTATGTGCCATCATGGGCTTATCATGTACTTCACCATATGTCTGCACATTCCATTCTCATACAGATTTCTATACATGCAGGCAAATACACATGATTATAATAGTAGAATAACTTAATACATAAATGGCCACATTCACGCCGATTATACCTGAACAATTTACATTTTGATTAATTAAAATCTTCTACATTCCCCTCTTTGAGACTTACTAAGTCTCACCATCATTTGTCATTACCCAGAGTGCAGCTTCACAATTCAGTCTCATCAGTTATCACTACCTATTGACTAATTTAAGTCACACAGTTTTATCACCAATGACTAGATTATGTAACAGCACTCTGGCGGAGCAGCAGGACCAAACCTCTCCCCCCACACTTGACTAGGAGGGAGTAAAAGATCCCCATCTCTCTAATCCCTCATTAAGATAATACAATGTTATAAGCATGAGCGTGCAATTGGTTCAGCGCTTGCCTGTGGTTGTCACAGTTATGTAGTATACAACAGACATTAAAATTCAAGACATAAAACATGTAACATCACAAAAAATTGCATAGTTGATCTTCAGTTCAGACAATGTGCACATTTTAGAGGGCCATTTTAGTTACCCTCAAAAATCAATTTCCCATCATATTGACATCTTAGACTTTTAATTTGCTTAGTTGTGGCTTTGATAACTAGTGACCTCAATATAGGAAGTACACAGTAAAATAGTTCTCTTCCTGCAATTCCTAAAAACATTCCCAGTTTAGTTAACTATGCTTCCCTTGCTTCTGGAGCATTGTTCCCCAAACATAATACATACTTTTCTTTTTCAGTTAACAAATAATATAAAGCTATTCTATTTTGCTCTGTCATTCTGCTTGTTGCG